AGATAGCTCTCAGATATGTCGAAAGCAGCATCTTTGCCTATATTCTTGAAGAACCGAGAGAGTTGTTGATCCATCTCAAAAGAGTTCTCCATGATCCCCTTTTCCCTTAGGAGCCTTGCGCCGGCTTCGTCGTTCATGAGGCAACCCATAAAAGCTACGTTGCTGGTTATGTGGTTTGGAGAATAACCGTAGAACTGCTACTTCGGTGTGCGACTTGGAGCCAAGGAAGACCAACTCGCACACATATCTTCTCCAGAATGCGTCTTAGTTGTGCGAGTTGAAGAACAGAAAGCCTGAGCAACACATATGTTCGTAGAATAGACCTAGATAAGCATGTGGGTGGGGCTGAAGATATTTAGGCGCATAGGACAGATTCCAAGGCTGTGCGACTTAGGCTTGCGGGGTGGGAAGCACCTGACCAACTCGCACACTTAACACATTGCCCATTTGAAGCCGGGTCAGTACCCAGTTTGTCCTCGGCTGACCCAGTCCAAACTGCTTAGTATAAATATGTTTTAGGGTTTTTTCCAAGACTTAAGATTTATTCTCTCTAATTTCTTTGCCTCTTTTGTGAAAAGACTCTCCTTTGTAAGAGATATCTACTTTTGTAAGTCTTAATCAAGAGAAATCAAAGATCTTTTGTGTTTAGTGCTGCAACCCATCATTATCTATCATCTCCATCTTCATTTCCAATTATTAATCATGCCAATCTTCTATGATTGCAAAGGTTTAAGAGAGATTAGTATGATTAGTGAGTAGTTTGCTTAATGAGGTTATAGATATGTAGGTTAGGGTGCTAAAGTGCTAGATTAGGAGTGCTTAGGGCTAGATCCATGTTTTCATTCTCTAAATAGCTGATCTCTAAGCTAGATCCTTGCACATCACTTGTGATCTAGAATCTGGGTTTTTCATGCACCAAAAGTGTTTGTTGAAATTCCTGAAAGAGCTATATTAGAGGTTTATGCATTAATGCCATGATAATGTTTGTTATTTGCATAAATGATCACTTGGGATTGATTCTTAATGTTGTCTTGTTGTTTGATCTCCAATGATAATTGCATATGTGAGATAGTTTGATTTGTGTATTGATGCTTGGGGAAGATTAAGGCTTGATTAGAATCTCAAATCACTTGAATCATGTTTCATTATTGTCATTAACATTTCTAGTTTAGCACCAAAGCACCCTAGTCCTCTATCATATCTAGAATTTCATGCTTCCATCATTTCATATTCATTCACCTGTCATTTGCTATTGCTTGCTTCTTGTTTTGATCATTTTCTGGTTTATTCATCTTGTTTAGTCTTTAGTTCATCACTTGTTTTAATCAAAACTCATCATATTGCTTGGATTAAGAAACTATCATCATGAGCTAGTGTCTACCCACACATTTGGATTGATAACTCTTTGTATTACAAAGACAAGGGATTGATAACCCCCATCTAAAGGCCTAAAAACCTGAGTTATCAGATATCCAACAGATATCGAGTCATCTTTGAAGACAACAAGTGTGTGATTCAAGATTTAAAAAGAAGGAAGATCTTGGACATCAAGGACAGAATTTTTCCAATTCGTTGGAAAAAATCAAGAGAATAAGCATATGTGGCTTTCGAAGAAAAAAAGAACAAACAAATCTTTGGCACAAGCGTTTTGATCATGTTAATTATGACAAGATGGAGACAATGCAAACGCTAAAGATTGTAGAAGATCTTCCAAAGTTTGAAGTAATAAAAGGCATATGTGAGGCTTGTGAGATAAGAAAACAATCATGGAGGAGTTTTCCAAATAAATCTCAAAGCAACACAAAAAAAAACTTTGGAGCTTATTCATTTGGACGTATGTGGCCCAATGCAAACGGAGTCAATAAATGGGAGCAAGTACTTCCTCACGTTTATTGATGATTTCTCAAGGATGACTTGGGTGTATTTTTTGAAGAACAAGAGTGAAGTAATCACAAAATTCAAGATATTCAAGCCTTATGTGGAGAACCAATCGGAGAATCAGATCAAAAGGCTTAGAACATATGGAGGTGGTGAATTTCTATCAAGAGAATTCATCAAACTATGTCAAGAGAGTGGCATACATCATGAGATAACAACTCCATACTCTCCACAACAAAACGGTGTTGCGGAAAGGAGAAACAGAACACTTGTAGAGATGGCAAGATCAATGATCGAAGAGAAAAACTTATCTAACAAGTTTTGGGCTGAAGCTATTGCAACATCAACATACTTGCAAAACATATTGCCATCTAAGTCATTGGAGAAAGGAGTTACACTAATTGAGATATGGAGCGGAAAGAAACCTAGTGTTGATCACTTGAAAGTTTTTGGGTGTGTATGTTACATACACATACCGGATGAGAAGAGAAGAAAGCTTGACACTAAAGCCAAAAAAGGGATATTCATAGGCTACAGCAACAAATCAAAAGGATATAGAGTGTTTTTGCTAAATGAAGAAAAGATCAAAGTGTCAAAGATGTGACATTCGATGAGAAGAAAATATGGAACCATGATGAAAAAGAAGAAAGAAAAGCAATTTTATCACAAGTCAAGCTCAACTCATAAGAACAAGGAGGAGGAAAAGATCTAAACGCTTAAATAGATCAAGTAAGTAACGCATTCAATCAACTTCAGATTTCAAATAGAGGAGTTCAAAACTCAAATGAAGAAGGAGAAGAATCCGTTGGTCCAAGAGGTTTCCGATCAAATAATGATATTATGGACCAAACAAATGAAGTTGGAGGAGATGCACTTATACATGAGATGTGTCTTATGATGGCCGAAGAACCTCAGGCTTTGGAGGAAGCAATAAAGAACTAAGTGTAGTTATGAAGCCATGATCAAGGAGGAGTGTTGGATGTGATCAAGTCTTCATCATGTTTTATAATTTTATAAGAATCATATATTATATAATTAAGTAACTGTTTTATGTCAAACTATTCGAAAAGGTGCGAATAGATTTGGTAATTGCAAAACAATTACACATGTGTGAATGTGTCTTTACAGTGGGGTGTCTTCCAGAAACATGTTCCTTGGTCAAAGTGTGTCATGTAAAACTATAAATACTATCTGTTTATCTAATAAATGTGTGTGGTTTTCATTTATAAAGAATCAAGTAATACATAAAAGTATAATACATTGAGTGTTGATTAAGAAAGAGAGAGATAGAGAAAACAGAGTAAAATCTGTGTTGTCCGATCCTTAAACGATTTTGAGAGTTCAAAGTTCTACATAAGGATGGATCTTTTAGTTTTATGGTTTTGTTTGTGGTGTGTGGGGTATAATACTGGTTCGTTATTCGTTGTTCCATTTGTAATCATCGATACATGATGATAAGTATCTCCTTTATACTAGCTCGTTGTTCCATTTGTAGGTCTCAGGAGCCCTTGCTCTGTCGTCTGGTCAATTCACTGTGACAATTCAAGACATGAACCCTTGCTCTGGTCAATTCACCATAACATATAAGTCAACGTACATTGTCAGAGGGTTCGTGTAACCATGCAGGACCTAAGTTCCGAACTAAAAGTCTCACCAAATCGCTCCGATTATGGCCAAGAATCTAAAATAACTTTATTCAATCTTAAATCGAGATTTACGTAAAGTAAATAAATATAATCGAAGGTTACGTAGTTTAAAATTTTAATAACTTCAAAACCTTGAATCGTTAGATTATATCTTTTTCAAAATCGTCTCATCAGACCATGCGTCCCGCATCCTAACATTAACACCAACGTGTACAACTAAACTGTAATAGAAAAGAAATGGTGAGTACAAAAATAGGATCATTCCCTCTCACAAGGCTAAGCCTTATTCTGTTCGTAATCATTCAATAAAATATTAATCCATTATGAATTTATGATCATACAAGGTCAGTTTATAAACCATTCATGCTATGCTATGATATCAATCATGCCACTAATCTTTATTTTTAATATTGCTAGTCATCTCTTACTACATGTATGCAATCTTTCTTGTTGTATTGTATCCGCACACGAGGTCACTTTGGTAAATATATCTAGGTAGAGCTCGGAGATTCTTGTTAAATAGAGGTGAGGTCGATATGAATGTTTCGAGGTTGTTTCAGCGAGGTTAGCTTGCGAAGTAAGAGTTAGCAATCACAAGTATTGAGTATTTTTGTCTCTATCTCAGATTACGGATCCCGTAATAAATGAAGTTACAAGGCTATTTATAGTGTTCAAATTAGGTTACATCTCGGTCAGAGTAGCTTGGGCGGCCGGGTAGATAGACCTGACCGACGTCTATCGGAATGTGTCGCTGGCGAGCTGTTTCATCAACCTCGACGTGGCGAGCTGCTCCTTCAACGTCGACGTGGCGAGCTGCTCCTTTGATATGGGGAGCTCATCTCTTCGAACGACCTCGTTTTGGCTTTGTGAATGGGCTTGTTATTCTTTGAGCTCGTTGGGCTTCTCCAATTTGCTAATGGGCCTGGTTAAAATTACAAAAAGAGGGCTGTGCTCAGCCCACCTACAACAATTGTCCCCCCCCCCCCCAGTCCGTTGATGGAGATGTTACTTCGATATTCAACGCATCGAGCTAGAGAATTTTCATTTCTTTGGACCTCGATATCGATGTGGAGTCGTCGGGGTCGAGGTGATACTTAGGGGGACAAGGAGTCGCAGAGAGCAACGGTCGACTTGGGAAGTGAAGAGTCGTGAAAAGCAATGATCGTCTTGGGAAGTTAAGAGTCGCAAAAAGCAACGGTCGATTTAGGCAGCGCAGAGTCGCGAGTGGAAGCGTGATTTTCGGGAAGCGCGTGGAATCCGCCACTAAATAAGATACTGGGAAGCGTCCAGATCATGATTACCTTCCTCGGTAACCGCTGCTTTTTCTTCCTTATATATTCTGTTCTCCTTCTCTTCTTCTCATTTCTTCTTCGTTCACAAAAGCTAATCTTGCTCTCCCTTCTCTCTAGAATTCCTTTCTCTCTCTAGAACTCGTCCTTTTGTTATTTTATTTCTGTCGCTATTCGATATCGAATTATGTCTTCGGGGGGTCAGCGCATCGAGTCGAGTTTAGAATCTGGATCTAGATCCGAACAGGAAGTTTCTGGGAGTGCGAGCTCTTCTCCTGAGGTGTCTTCGAGGTCTGATAGTCAATCAGATCGAGGAGAGTCTCCATTGCTGGAGTTGGCGGATCGATTTTGTTCTGATGGGGCATCTCCGCGAGGCGAATCTACGGATCTTCAAATAGTTCCTCTTGTGGAGCATGATGGCGAGCCTACTGAGCACGCCGAAGAAGAGGTTGGTGAAGGGGGCGAGGAGGAGGATGAACAGGGCGAGGAAGAGGAACAAGGCGAGGAAGAAGAACAAGGCGAGGAAGCCAGACCTCGACGAAAAGGTTCCAAGCGCAAGGGAGCCATCAAGAATCGACTAGTTAACATTCCGTCTCAGATGACGGCTCAACGCCTCGAGGAATTTCGGTTACGATACAGTTTTCGAGGTGAGCTGAGGGCGCCAGGACCCGAGGATCGACCATGGCGGGCTCCGGAGGGCTGGGTTACGCTTTACGAGGCGTGGTTCAGTCTCTGTCATCTTTGGGTGCCTTTGCCGAGGCTGTTGACCGATTATGTTGATCGGAGATGCATTGCTTTCTCACAGATCCTTCCTACGGGGATCCGGTTTATGGTCGCGGCTCTTTTGTTCGGGAGCGAGGTCGGGGTCGATGTCGACTGGCGCTTCTTCGAGGAGATGACTACCGTTCAGAAGAATAATTCGATCCCAGGCACGTATACGATAAAGGCCAGGAAAGATTGTTCCCTGGTTTACCCTGTCAACAGGATGCCGAGCTGGGAGGCGTCCTTCTTTTATGCAAAGGTGGATGAGGCGCTGGTAGTTGATACGACCAGAGACTTTAGGATCGAGTGGAGCAGTAGCATCGGTAGATCGCTAATTTGGTCATATCTCGAGTCTTCCCTTTCTTTTACTGATGTTTCTTTGTTTCTCGCAGAGCGAAACGTCCAGCTCGAAGCTTTCCCGGAGAAATTTCACGTGAATATTCAGAAGATCAGGGCCGTTGGGATACAGCATTGGCCTGATATACATCGTCGAAGAGTCGAGGCAGCCATTACCCGTATCACAAACGGTAGGTTCGATGTCAGCGTTTCCTTTATCATTTACGTCGTCTAACATGTTAATTATTGTTTTGTTCCAGCTAGCTGGAGAAGGGAAAACCTTCTAAGGGAGAGGGCGATTGAGATGTCTCCGATTCAAGTGAATGCGCCTAGTCTCGCTGCGCGGATCAGAGCTAGTCGTGGGAGCGGGGGAAATAAAAATCAGCAATCCTCTGCTCAGTCAGGTCGCTCGACCCAAACGATGGTACGTCGAGGGGCTGACGAGGTAGAGGCTCAGCAAGGCGGCGATCTTGTCCAGGACCACGCTCAGACAAATGAGCCCGAAGTGGCGGTTCAAGAGGAAAGTCAGCCGGTCGCCGAGGAAGCCGATGAAACTGAGAGGCGTGCTAGGAGGGAGGCGAAGAAGTTGAGAAGAAAAGAGAAGAAGAAAAAGGAAAAGGAAGAGGTCGAGACCGCACGGCTTGCTGAGGAGGCAAGACAAGTCGAGGTCAACGAAGCGGCGGCAACGGAGGGAACGAGGAAGAGATCCTCTGATGAGGTGTGTGTAGGTGGTGATCGCGAGGAGCCTGTTAAGAGGAAGGTCGGTCCCTCTGGCGACGATAAGGTTCCCGAGGTCGATTGGAGCTTCAAATTTGAATACCCCGAATCTGGGGCACCCTTCGTCAACAACGCCGACAAATGTGCCGATCTCTTCGGCTTGATAAGGGGATCGACTTCCGAGGTTCCTGCTGGCGACGACGCGATTTTCAAGGACATGGCGGGCTTTGCCTTTAAGGTATATCGCAATTCTGAGTTCATCTTCACATATTTATGGGTTTACTCTAATGCGGATATATACTTTTTTATCAGTTCATCGCGAGCTGCAACCGCGCGCGAGGTCGATATCATCGTACGATTCGAGCTGCTGCTACGAAGCTTCGTAACGCTCAGTCCGCTGGACAAAGAGCCGTGGAAGAGCGGGATGCCGCGATTGCTCGGCGAAAGTTGGCTGAAGAGAAGTGGCAGGTCGAAAAAAGACGCGCTGTGCAGTTGGAAGAAGGTGTGAAGACGTTGACCGATAAGATCGAGGAGCTGAAGTTGGAGAATCAGGATCTGATCAGCAATCTTCAAACAGTCAACGAGGCGAAGATTCAGGCTGAGAAGTCGGTTGCGTCTGAAGTAGCTCGCGCGTCAAGCGACATGACGAGGAGAAGATAGAATCCGAGACCACTCGGATTTGGGTGGATGCAGAGAACAAGTTCTCGGGTCGCATTGGTCGATTAAGGACTTTTATTGCCGAACAAGAGGCCATTGTGAAGGTGAAGCTAGATCTCGTTCAGGCTTGAGGTACTCTTGAATGCCTCGATATCTTGAAAGACAAGGAGATGACCGAGGTCGAGTTGAGGGCCGAGCTTGAGGCGACCGTACGTGACTGCGAGCTGAAACTCGAGGGACTTCGCCTAGCTGATGTTCAGGAAGGTGACTTGCCTCCGCCATTTCCCGTGACTCCGGACGGTGGTTCAGACCATGACGACGCTGAAGACCAAGAGAATCGCGAGGATGGCACTCAGCCTGACCACCACGAGGGCGTCAATCAGCCTGAAGAATAGATCTCACTCGCCTTTTCCTTATATGTTATCGCCTCTTTTCTTTTTACTTATCTTGCCTCGTTTGTAAGGACCCGATCTAATTTCATTAATGAATGCTCTTTTTCTGAAGTATCAGCTTGCAATTTGAATCGTAAAAAGATAATAAATACGAGGTATATTTAAGTAAAGAAAAACGACTAATACGAGGTAAAGACTTAGTCATAATAGGACAGTATTTGCAAAGTAAAACTCAGATTAAGGGAACAATGGGTGCGAGGTGAAACTCGGCTTAAGGGAACAATAGGTGCGAGGTATGACTCGGCTTAAGGGAACAATAGGTGCGAGGTATGACTCGGCTTAAGGGAACAATAGGTGCGAGGTATGACTCGGCTTACCCTGTTTTATTTCATTAATCGTGTCCGAATAGTGAGAATGATCTCGACGTAGTTATTCGGGTGATTTAAGAAAGGATGCGGGACTGGTCCCGGCTTATTCTCTTATAATCGTAAGCTTTTTGTTCCTTAGGATTTATTAAGAGCTTGCATTGTAGGGAAATGCGTATTAGGAGATCGAACATCTAGCTAGGATGTCGATGTGAAAGATGTCGATGTGAAAGATGTCGATGTAAAAGTTGGTATAAATAAAATTTTATTAATAGATGTACCCCGTGAGAGGTTGCCTACGTACCCAACAGACTGGGATCAAGCCGATCGTAGTTCACATTCGAGATCTAGCTCGACCGAGTATAGCTCGGTGAGCGTCTTTTTTTTTTTTTTTTTTTTTTTTTTTTTTTAGTAGTAATACCGCTTTATGTTCATCGAGTTCCATGATCGTGGTATCATTTCGCCATCCATCGTCATGAGCTCGTAAATGCCAGGTTTTACAATGTTGGTGATTTGGTAGGGGCCTTCCCACTTTGCGCCCAGTTTTCCGGCGCGGTATTCTTCGGTATTTTCGAACACCTTACGAAGGACGAGGTCGACAGCTTCAAAGTGCCTACCTTTCACTCGTTTGTTGTAGTAACGTGAGATTTGCTGCTGATAGTTTTGCATACGTAATAGAGCGTGATCTCGCTCCTCCTCTAGCATGTCGAGGCTATCCTTCATCATTCTTCCGTTCCTTTTACCGTCTTGTGTCAACATCGTTCTGCGTATGGTTGGTAGACCGACCTCGGCGGGAGCTAAGGCTTCCATGCCGTGAGACAACGAGAAAGGAGTTTTATTCGTCGATCGTCGCGGTGTGGTTCGATGTGACCATAGGACTCCGTCTAACTCATCTGCCCATAAGCCCTTCTTATCCTCGAGTCTCTTTTTGATGTCGTCGAGGATAGTCTTGTTGGTTGCCTCGGCTTGTCCGTTTCCTTGTGGGTATCGCGGTGTTGACTTGCTAAGTCGTATTTTCCATTTGGCACAGAAGTCCTCGAATACATCGGAGATGAACTGGGAGCCATTATCGGTGACGATCTCGTAGGGTAGTCCGTGGCGGCAGATGATGTTTTTCCAGACGAAGTTCTTCACGTCGGTTGCTTTGATTTTGGCGTAGGATTCGGCCTCGACCCATTTCGTAAAGTAATCGGTGATGATAAGTATGAATCGTTTCTGTCGGGATTGAGGAAGTGAACCTACGATGTCCATTGCCCATCGCATGAAGGGATATGGTGGCGAGGAAGCAGCCAGAAGTTCGGCTGGTGCGTGGATCATTGGCGCATGTCGTTGGCATTGCTCGCAGCGAGCAACGAATCGATCACAATCGGTAAGCATTGTCGGCCAAAAATGGCCGTGGTTCTTGATTTTTAGAGCGAGAGCTCGACCGTTGGAGTGATTTCCACACGCTCCTTCGTGTGTTTCTCGCATAACATCGAGCGTCCTCACCATGCAGACAGTTGAGCAGGGCGCCGGTTGAGCTCCAACGATAGAGGTTGCCGTGTGACTTAATGTATTTGGCGCTTCGAACTTTTAAACGCCTCGCGGCCCATCGGTCAGGTGAACTTGGCCATCTGTAATGTAGAGTAAGATTTCGATCCTCCAGTCGTCGGTTGCTGGCTCTTGTTCAGCAGGCTCATCGACGACCTCGGGGGGAGGTAATTCGATGGCGTCTAATCTGTTTGCTTCGAGCTCTTGAACTGCGCATACTCCTCGAGGTAGGACGATGCTGGGGGAATCGATGCTTTCGACCGGGATCACGCGCCTTTGATGTGATTCGGACGTCGATGCGAGGGCGGCTAGTGCGTCTGCCGAGGTGTTGTCACTTCTCGGAATTCTGGTGAGTGAGAAAGATTCGAAGCGATCCGTGATGCTCTTGACGGCTTTAAGATATAAATCCATCCGTTTGTTCCTAGTGTCGTAGTCACTGTTGTACTGGCTAGCAACGAGCTCGGAGTCGCAGAAAGCTTCGATTTTCTTGACCCCGATTCCTTGGGCTAGACGAAGTCCTGCGAGTAAAGCCTCGTACTCTGCTACATTATTTGAAGCCGGGAACTTGAGTCGGAATGATTGCTCAAGTTTCTCTTTTGTCGGGGATTCTAATCGGATGCCAATGCCGGCGCCACGGGATGAGGAGGATCCGTCGACGTATAAAGACCACTTCTCGTGAGGTAGATCGGTCTGGATTAACTCTGGTGGAAGCTCTATCAAAAAATCTGCGAGGACCTGCGATTTGGCACTCGTCTTATTACGATACTCAATATCATACTCTGTTAGCTCAACAGCCCACTTCGCCATGCGACCTGACTGGCTCGGGCTGTGTAGTATTGTTCGAAGTGGTTGATTGGTCAAGACGACGACTGAATGAGAATGGAAGTAAGGTCTTAGCTTTCTGGCAGACATGATGACCGCAAGTGCGAGTTTCTCCAAGGTTGGGTATCGTTTTTCTGCGTCGTCCAGAGTCTTACTAACGTAGAAAATCGGTTTCTGCTCGCCTCGATCTTCTTTGACTAAGACGTTGTTTACCGCCGAGCTCGACACTGCGATGCAAAGGTAAAGAGTTTCGCCCGTTTCGGGTTTTGCTAAAATTGGTGGGCTGGCGAGGTATTCCTTAAGTTGTTGGAAAGCTTCTTCACACTTGCTATCCCATTCGAAACGCTTGTTGCCTAGGAGGAGCTGATAGAACGGGAGACACTTATCTGTCGAGCGAGAGATGAATCAGTTAAGCGCTGCGATCCGACCGGTGAGACGTTGAACTTCGCGAGTGTTGCGAGGTGAAGGGATATTGATTAGGGCATCGATCTGCTTCGGGTTTGCCTCGATTCCTCGTTTAGTGACGATGTAACCGAGGAATGCTCTGGATGTAACGCCGAAGGTACACTTAGTCGGATTCAGCTTCATTTGATATTGGTTCAGAACGGTGAAGCAAGCCTGTAGATGACTGATGTGATCACCTGCAGTAAGTGACTTCACTAGCATATCGTCGATGTAAACATCCATCGTTCGTCCCAACTGATCGGCAAACATGTGGTTAACTAGTCGTTGGTACGTTGCGCCCGCGTTTTTTAAGCCGAATGGCATTACCTTATAACAGTAGGTCCCCCGGTCAGTAATGAAGGACGTCTTTTCGCGATCTTCGGGATGCATCGTGATTTGATTATACCCGTAGAAGGCGTCCATGAATGACAGGAGCTCGTTTCCTGCAGTTGCCTCGACGATTCGATCGATATGTGCAAGGGGAAACTATCATTGGGGCACGCCTTGTTGAGATCGGTGAAGTCTACGCAGATTCGCCATTTGCCATTTTTCTTTTTGACGACAACTGGGTTTGCCAACCATTCCGGATACTTGACCTCGACGATCGAGCCAGCCTTTGACAAACGTTTGACCTCATCATTGACGGCTTGCGCCTTTTCCGGACCTAACTTTCTCCGCTTTTGCTTGATCGGTTTAAACGTTGGATCGATGTTGAGCTCGTGACTTGTTATTGAGGGATCTATCCTAGGCATATCATGTACCGACCAGGCGAATGTCGACGCATTTCGGCGAAGAAGTCGTACGAGCTCAACCTTAATCTCCTCCTTTAGGTCAGCCCCGATTCCTACGCATCGTTTGGTATCGCTTTCGTCGATGTTTACTTGGGCGATGAGCTCCTGCTTTGGTCTTTCTTGAGATGGCAAATCGACTTGAGTTACGGGTAAAATTGTAAGACACGCCTTGGCCGGGACCATGGATTTGAATAGAAGCTTATGCTCGGCGGCGAAGCAGAGTCTCGATATCTCTTGAGAGCCTCGAATGGTTTTTACCCCGAACGCGGTTGGGAACTTGAGGCATTGATGATAGGTTGACGGCACCGCCTTCATGGATTGTAGCCAGGGTGTTCCCAGAATTACGTTATCGATGGCAAGTTTGTCGATGACGACAAATTTGACGAGGCGGGTCGTCTTCGCCGCGTAGACTGGGACTCTGATTGTTCCGATCGAGTAAACCGTATCTCCGTCGAACCCTGTGAGTGGCTTAACCGAAGACTTGAGGTGATGGTTTGCCAGTTCCATTTTGTCAAGTGTTTCTTTGAAAATCAGGTCCACTGAGCTTCCTGTATCGACCAGTATCCGCGATACCTCGCAATCTGCAACCCGCAGCTCGATCACGAGCGGGTCGTTATGCGGCATGTCGACTCCCTCCATGTCGGCCTTGGTAAATGTGA